TGATCATTTAACAGTATATTACACAAATATCAAATTATTATGAGTACACCTGAAACTAATATAATGTTATATGTCAATTATACCTAAATTGAAAGAAAGAAACAAAGGAAGAAAACAAAGGGAGGAAGGAAGGAAACAAATGAGCAACGTAAGATTTACTATCTTAACCAATTTACTACCGTAACCATTTTTAAATGTACCAATCAATCTCCAAAACTCTTTTCATCTTGCAAAATTGAAACTTGTTACTAACAACTTCCCCTTCTCTCCTCCTCTCAGCCCATGGTAACTATTCTACTTTCTGTTTTTATGAATTTGACCGCTCTAGGTAGCTCACATAAGTGTAATTATACAATATTTGGGTTTCGTGTGTGTTCATGTGTAACTGGCTTATTTCACTTAGCATAATGATAACGTTCTCAAGGTTTATCCATGTTGTAAAATGTGTCAAAATTTCCTTCTTTTTATAGTTGAATAATATTCTTTTGTACCTATTTATCTGTCGATGAACACTTGAGTTGCTCCTGCCTTTGGCTATTGTGAATAATGCTACTAAGAACATGGATGTACAAATTTCTTCAAGACCCTGCTTTTCATTCTTTTGCGTGTATACCCAGAAGTGGAATTGCTGGATCATGTGGTGATTCTGTATTTAATTTTTTTTTGAGGAATCATACTGTTTTATATAGCAGCCATACTATTTTACATTCCCACCAACAGTGCACATAAGTTTCAATTTCTCCACACCCTTGCAAACGCTGCTATTTTCTGTTTGTTTGTTTTTTTATAGTAGTGATCTTGATGGTGTGAGGTGATATCTCATTGTGGTTTTGATTTGCATTTCCATGATGATTAATGATGTTGAGCACAAGAAGTTCATGTGCTTATTGGCCATTTGTATATCATCTTTTGATAAATATCTATTTAAGCGCCTTGTCCATTTTTAAATTGATTTTTTTGTTGTTGAATTTTAGAAGTTCTCTATAGGATATTCTGACTATTAACCTCTTATCAAATATATAATTGGCAAATACATTCTCACATTGCATAGGCTGCCTTTTCACTCTGTTGATTGTGTCCTTTGATGGAAAGTTTTTTATTTTGAAATTATCAAATTTATCTATTTTTACCTTCCTTGCCTGTGCTTTTGGTGTCATAGTCAATGAGTTCTATTACTTTTTAATATTTTATTAGAATGAGAAAAAGATAAAACAAAAAATGGGAAAGAAATACTGGATTTAAAAGAAGAAAAATTTTCCCTAAGAGGCAACATTGATGCCTAATTTATCCATCTATGGTCTTATTTCTCTTGGAGCTCTATACTCTTTCCGCTTTCTTCTCCATGATTATTCATAAATCCGGACCCAGGGAAAAGCCCCAAGACTGAAAACCTACCTCCATAAGCAGACGGCAGGGAAACACTGAAGAGACACAGCCACTCCAATCTGGCGATTAACAGAGTTTTTATAGAGAAACATACATAAGAGGCACATCTTGGGAGGCAGAAAGACAAAGTGGATATCCTCCATGCCTCTGGGCAGGCGCTAAAGAATTACATAGAACAGGGCAGGATGGACAGGGGTACTGACGCCTAACCCGCCCCAGATAAGGGAAAATATTTAATGTCTTACATGCTCGCCACGGCTGTGCGATGACCTGGTGCAGAAACCAGCATTCTGTGGGGCATAGGAGAGAGGTGGACCAGACAGTCTTTGAGGGGTATTGCAGGAAGCAATCCCTGTTCTGGCTGGATCTAGTATGTGGCTCCAGCAGCAGTCCCATCACAGAACAGTCACTCCTTCAGAAAGATGCAATTTAAACATCTAGTTCAAATGTCTAGCCGTTTTCCTTCTATATGTTCTAGAGTATTACCTTTGACAAATTGTTCAATTCTACCAACATCTCCTCTTTCATTTTTAAAACTAAATTACCCCTTGGCTTCAAGCTGTGCTGCTGTACTTGACTCTATAGTGGTGTTTTTCTTGAAAGGAGAAAAGGCTCCTCTGAGACTTCTCATCACACTCTCCCACACATCCCACCAGCTGAGAATCACAGCTGTCTACAAGCCAATATTCTTTCCACATTCCACTGCCGGTTTCCTGACTTTCCTGTTTGGGCTCCAAGAAGCAGCTGCATTTTGACTTGGGATCACCCTATCATGCTTATTTGGTCACTTCCTTTTGCTTTTCAAAGAAGTTTCTATGGGTTTTTGTCTCAGGAAATTCAATTTCTCTGTCTGACTCCTCCTTTGACATGCCTATGTAATAATCGTCTCAGGAAATTCAATTTCTCTGATGTCTGACTCCTCCTTTGACATGCCTATGTAATAAAGCCTCCGTAAAAACCCAAAAGGAAGAGGTTTGGAGAGCATCTGGGTTGGTGAATATGTGAATATGCATGCAGGGAGTGTGGCATGCCCACAGAGAGCACGGAAGCTCCATGCTCCTTCCCACATACTTTGCCCTATGCATCTCTTCCAAAAGGCTATTTCCTTTTTATAATAAACCAGTGATCTAGTAGGTAAAATGTTTCCCTGAGTTCTGTGAGTCATTGTAGCAAATCAATCAACTGGATGGGGTCGTGGAAACCTCTAACCTATAGTCACTTGGTCTGAAGCACAGGAGGTAATCTGTACTTGCCATTGGCATCTGAAGTGTGGGCAAGGAGCAATCTTGTAAGACTGAGCACTTGACCTGTGGGACCTAATGCTATCTCCAGGTAAACAGTGTCAGAACTGAAGAAAATTATAGGACATCGAGCTGGTTTCGCATAAACTCCTTAATGTGTGGAAAACCTATACATCTAGTGTCAGAAGTGTCATATTGTGAGAGTAGAGGTTTTGAGAATAGAGGGGACACACAGGAAGTGTTTTCCTTTATACATATTTACAGTTGAAAAAAATAAAAATACTTCATAACACATGAAAATTATATGAAATTCAAATTTCAGTATCCATAAGTTTTACTTGAACACAGCTATGCTATTATTAGTGTACATGTTGTCTATAACTGCTTTCACACTAAATTGAGTAGCTGTAAAAGGGATGGCTCACAAAGCATAAAATATATACTATTTGGCAATTTATAGAAAAAAGTTTGCCAACCCTTGCTCTATACTCCTTGACTAGATTCAGAGTTCTCTATTGCATCTCTGTAACTAAGCAGCCTTTCAGTATCAGCCCATATCTGCTTAGTTCTTTATAAGCTTTTCAAAACTCAATACAGAGGAATTCAATAACTTGCCCAAGCTTGCAAGGCTTGCAAAAAGCTGACAGAATTCAAACTTGACAGACTCCAGTGACCCAGCTCTAAGCTGCTATGCTACATTGCCTCCCTAGGGGAGACTAAGAACTTGGTAAGCTCAATGTCACTTAAAATTTTAGGTACTGTTAAAATCCACAGAAACAGCCTATCTTAAATAAGAGGTATCCCTGTAGGACAGTTCTCCCCTAAAGAGTGAGGAAAACATAATATTTATTTAATGACTTTATTGGATGCTTATCACATACTGGAAGCATCATGGAAGGCATCTCATTTAACCCCCATAATATTGCAGAGAGAGAGGAATCATAATTCACATTTTTACAAATTAGGAAACTACAAGTGAAAAAAAATGTTGTTTCCTGATAAATTCACAGACTTAATATACCAGTGGAGTGATAATGAAATGCTGAAATCTGCAGACTAGAAACTCAGATATGCAAAATTATAACCTTATTTCTGTGTCCAAATCAAAATCAAACTTGATAAAAAGCCCCCATATTTCCATTCCTAAAAGAGGGTAAAATGTGTCATTACAAGATCACTCAGTCACTTCAGGTATAAAGTGTAGTAACCAAAGGTGTTTGGATTCGTCATCAGTAAAATGCAAATTAAAACCACAAAGTGATGCCACTACACACCACACAGCACCATTAAAATGAGAGTCAGGTAATACCGAATGTGGACGTGCAGCCACTAGAGATCTGATTCACTACTGTCAAAAGTGTAAATTGGTATAACATGAAAAACTGCTTGTCAATATAAATGATGGGTACTGCAGCTCACAGGAAGTGACTTAAATTTTAAGGAACTTTGTGAGACAGTTGATTTCACATTGAAAGCTTGAAATTGGACAGAATGAGAGTACTTACACCACAGTAATTGGCAAACATTATAAATCAGCACCCACCCCAGAGCCAGTTGTTTAAAATTTACCAGCACTCCATTGGGCAATATACACTAAAGCTCCACATATATATCCTATGACTCAGCAAATCTATTTCTAGGTATGCATGCTTTAGATATGTGTATATATGCTAACCAAAAGCCATGTACAAAGATGTTCACAACAGCACTAATTGTAATAGCCTCAAACTGGAAAACCAAATATACATAAATAGATTTGGTAAATTGTCATGTTCGTTCAATGGAATACTATGCAGTGATAATAAAGAACTGCCACATGCAACCAACCAGATAAATCCCACAAAATGTTGGAACAAAAGAAGCCCAAACAAGCTACAAACTGGGAGAAGATATTTGCAAATCAAATACCAACAAAGAATCTGCATCCTGAATGCATTTCTTGGTTTTGATAAATGTATTATAGTTATGTAAGATGTTACTATTAGGGAAAGCTGAGTACTTTTATAACTTTTTGTGAGTCTATAATTAGTTAAAAACAAAAAAGATCAATTAAAAAATGTATTGGTACTTTTATCTACCAGACTTCCTACTTTTCCACATCTTTGATAGGTATTCTAAGTATATTCTAACACAATACTAATGGGGTATAACTAATAAACTTTTCCAGAGAGTGAAAACATTTAAACAAGAAATTCAATTTCTAGGATTTTTTTTCCTAGGAAAGTAACCAGAGATAATATATAAAAATCCACATTGCAATTTTTTCATAGTTGTTTATAATAGTGAAAAATTGGAAAAAAACTTATAAATTGAAAACAAGTGGGGACTAGTTAGTATATTATGATATACACAGCAGACAATATGATGTAGCCATAAGAAATTAAGCCATAGAATATTTATTGACATGAGAAAATGTTAACAATATACTTCTATATGAAATATTAAGGTACAAAACAGTATATACAGTTTAATAACATTTTTATGGAAAGAAAAATAGCATATGTACAAAATCATGCATAGAAAAAAATAGAATGATGTGCATACCAAATGGTTATCTCTAGATAGTGGAATTAGAGGTGATTATGCAATTTTTCTAATAAATTTCACCTTCCCTACAAACAGAATCTGCTTCATGCTAGTCTTTCTTGGTGGTGATTAGTTTAAAATAGTTCTCTTCAAATAGATTCTGTTTCATAATATATACCTCCAAATCATATTGCTATTGCCATTTATAAAGTAGATGCTACTTGCTCTTATATTCTGACATATGGAGAATATTTTTAACTAATACAATATACTATAAAATATGCCACAGCATAGATTTGTCTATAGAAAATTATTTGGAGAATTTGAAAATCCTCTAATTGAAAAACTTTAAATAGAAAAAAATATATTATCATTAGTTAAGAGTTCATAATGATCGAGTGTGAAATAACTTGGGTTCCAGAATTGGAGACTTTTAGATCTCTCTTTACTGACTTTGGGCAAAGGAGATTAGATTTTTCAGTTAGGAAAATATGGTTAATAATTTTGTAGAAAGCAATAATAAAATTGTTTTTAAAGAAAGGAAAATGAGATCCCACATATAAAGGTTTGCTATAAAGACCTGAAGAAATATGAGATAAAACAGCAAGAAAGAAATTCAAAGTTGGTGGTACAGAAAAATTAACTCATTTACTTTTCTGCAGCACCAAATTCTTACTGTTTTATAATTTCTACCACAGGTTTGATATGCCAAAATTGTCAAATTCTTTTAATGTTAATTAATGGTCTTTAACTTCAATTATTTCAAGTTAATATATAGGACATACTTAAATTTTTCATGGAATCTGAGGTAAGTGTTCTAAATACACATGTCATCCTCTGATGACCCTTGAAAACTGGCAACATTAAACACACTACAGATGTAATTCAGATTTTATTTCTCAGAATGCATCCTAGTGTAAAGCTATATACTAGATTCTTATTAAAAATAACCAAAAATGAATTTTTTAAAGGTAAAACATCAGAGAACAGAAAAAAAATATATCTATGTCCACTTTTCTCTGATGCTTCCCATGCTCCAGCACCATTCCAAGCTATCTCCTAATTTCTGGTTCCCCCTCTTTGGAAGGAAGTATTTAGTAAATCTATGGTCAATTAACATTAAGTAATTGTTTATAATCACATCTGAAAGGGAACAGTTAATAACTTGTTACATCTGAAAGGTAAATTTATTGTCTAGATGTCTAGATGTAAATCATACAACTTGCAGATGAAAGGAACATAAAACACTGATGAGAAGGAAGATTTGATAAGAATGGGGAAAAAGAAGAATTTTCTTTGTTTTTCCAATCAAAGGTTTGTTCATTCTCTCCAGTCATGGAATTGAAAAAGAAGACTGGAGTGCAGGTGGGAAATGTGCATCACATTTATATAACAACACAACATATTCTTGCCCTACTCCAGGGTCATTCTGCCACCTCTACCTCATTCTATAAATGCCCCATTAACCACAGCATAACTTTTAGAGAAGCTCTAATTCCTCAATGAAGATCACAAGAACAGTACTTCCAGGTTGTTAAAGAAACCAGGATATTACACCTACACATTTCAGGGGCAAGAGGAGACTATCGACACTCCACATTTATTGCTTTACAAAAAAGGTAGAGGCGAGAAAATAATTTTTTGAAATTTCACAATCACCAATCTGTGACAGAAACTGAGGCATAACACTTATGCTAACAAATATGATAGATGAGTTATTTCAGTACATCACTGCAAATGGATACTCCTGGATTTTCACTTAATCAATCCATTATTCAATGATGAACACCATAAAATGAAAGGTGACATACTTATGAACTAAAATCACAAGAAAAAACTCTCTAAGATCAATCTTCAGTGAGCTCCTATTCCAATAAGCCATAAAAAGTGGTAAAAGGCAATATTCATTTAACAAAATGAGAATCCCAATGACAAGAAATCAGATATTTATATTCCTCCAGAGACACTTTTTCCCCACCTAACAAAGGCACTTGACATGTATTGAAATGGACATTTAATTCAGATACTGCCCTAGGCAACTGTTACTTTCCTAAAATTAGGTGAAGTGGTGATTAAGTTCAAATTAATTCTTCCAAATCAGCCTGAAACACACACGAATATATCAAAAGTTCTCTATTTTTGGCAGATGATATAACCAAAGATAAAAAGATAATGTTGGTGTCCACAATGAATTGGCTGACTTGAGCAGTCCAGGATCCCCTCTCTGAACAATATATTCTTTGATGACTGTGGAATTTGTATGTAATTATAGGCAAATTAACCTTTCATATAGTTTCAGGTATTAATGTTCACTCCTCTTCTTGTCCTTTCTTACTTTTTTGTTCTTTCCCAAAGCCTTAGATGATTCCTCCTGAAAAAGACAAAAATCAATGTAGTATCTCCTCATTAATATGAAGATACAGGCTTAGGAATCTTAAATATAATCATACGAAATATGTGTAATAGTGAAAGTATAATTACTTCCATATATATCATCTTTGTTTTATAGGACACTTTCATTTCATAACTATTTAAATACTTACAAAACAATCAAAATAATCAAGGAAAACACTAAGTTATCTAATAAGTTTATGTTTGAATAATTTCAGTATTATTTAACCTACTGTTCACTTTCCAAAGTAGGCAGCAGAATTTAAACACGATAGATATGAACATACTTATAAAATATGAAACAAAAAACCCTCAAAGTATAAAGAAAGAAGGCATTTAAAAGCATTCCAGTGCTCTGACACTAATAGAAAATGTTAGAATTTTATAGATGTTCGAAAAACATCTAATTCACTGTAGCATTAGCTACAACCTCTCTGAACCTCAATTTTAGGGAGTGTAAACTAATTAGTCTTTAAGATTTTATAAAATTCTGTGAATCTGAAATTAAGGTTCAAGGAGATGAAGCTTCTCCCCAGGGTCAGAGAACTGGCCAGTTACACGGTTTTGACTAGTACATAAGCCTCCAGTTTCCTAGTCCAAAGATTTTTCTAATGTACCACAGAAATCCTGATTCATTCCTTATTTTGTCTTTTTTCCTTTATAAAATTTCATGGGCAGTGGTGAGAAACTCTCTAGATACAACATCGATAACCACTTACCTGTGAATTTGTGTAGTCCTTCTCCACTAGAATGTTTCTGGCACAGTTGTTGATATGTTTAAAGCGATCTGGTCCTAGAAGAATCCCTCCATACCAGCGTGATACTACCACCATGACATTTCTCACGTTCAAAATCTGTTATTTCCAGAAGCAGAATTAGAAACACATATAGACATGTACAAATGTGAGTTGTAAAGGAAAACAAAATAACCCACATATAAAATCGCACATAAAATTTTCCTCTGATTTTAATGGCAGAACCACATGAGTGAGCAGAGTGAGATTACTAACAATTCAGGGGAGAGAATGTTATAATGAGAAGGGAATTTGAAAAACAAACATTGCTCTGCAGTATCCTCAAATTCCAAACTTTGGGGCAACTGAGCAGAGTGAAGGGGAGATCATGCAGGTAGGGTTCCAGTTCTTTGTGACTTCACCCAGAAAAGATGTTTAGGCAGCCTTTTACTCCAAGGCCACACAACAACACAAAGCCTGCTTCTGAACAAACTACTAGAGAGAACTGGGGCTGCAAGAATAACGGCTGGTGCCTACCAGTAAGGTCTTCCGTAGTTTGACATTTGTCAAATGCTGCCCTTAACGTGAAGCCCACCAGTCTACAGGCCTGACTCACAGAGTTCCAATCAAGGGAATAGCCTGGTTAGAAACAAACCTCCACATACAATAGCAGAAGAAACTATAGCAACTACCTTAGGAAAATAAACAATCCATTCTTAAAACTAATGGACAATCAATGATCACCAGACATGAAGAAAATCCAGCAGCATGAAAGAGAAAGGACAAGATAAACAAACTAAAGTGGACCAAGAAAATTTCAAGAGAACATCTTTAAAAAAACTACCTCTAATTAGTATATTCTGAGAAATTTTAGAAAATACTGCATCTATAAAACCAGAACAGCACACTTTGAAAAAGGAAAAATAGAGTATAAAAAGAACTCTTGACAAATACACAGTTGCTAAAAAATTTTTAATTCAACAGAAATTTTGGAAGACAGTCAAAAAAAAGTCTCAGAACACAGACAATGAGATGGACAACTTAATAAAAAAGAAACATTCTGGATCTATCCAGAAGGTCTAATACCCAACTAATAGGAATTTCACAAAGGCAGAACAGAGAAAATGAAGGGGAGAAAATTGTCAAAAAACAAAAAGGAGTTTTTCCAGGGCTGAAGACAATCTTCTATTTTCTATGACTGAAAGAGCTTGAAAGCCCAACACTTATTAACCCTTTGCTTTCCATCCTTTGCTGAAAATTTTCTCAGTGTTCAAAAATTAACTACTAATTAAACCAAATATATCTCATGTTATATGGTCTGATTTACTTACTCCTAAATGAAGCTGTTTTGTTGAGAAATTTTATGGCTCATAGAACAGGATTAACGGAGTCTAAGTTACCCTTACCTCCATGAGATGGAGAAGACGCCCACCGGCTGCTGTTTCCCCATCATCTTCACAGTCCTGTAAGAAGGTCTGTTTATCCTCACAATATATTCTAGAAATACATAAAACAGGGTTATACACTTTGAAATCTCAAAATATTGTAATAAAAGTTTACTCCTTCATACTTGCTACAATCAATTTGCTTCCAAAATTGGCATGTTTGTTTAAAAAAAAAAAACCTTCTTGAACTATATATTAGATATATTTGCACTGATAATTTACTATCCACTATGGCTCACTTTTTATACTTGGGAATGCTAGGACTCAAGGGTGTCTGCTTTAAATCAGAATCACTGCAATTATGAGGTGAGTTTACACATCTGAAATTTCTCCACTTTATTTAGCCTTAAAGCTAAGAGGTTATAGAGGGGAATCACTAAAAAACATTTATTGAGAATATACCATATAGAAGCATTACACGTAATAGGCACTATGAAATGATACAGAAGAAATAACTGGCGTGCCCGTCTTCAAAGACCGTAAGCTCTAGTGAAAAAGACAAAAAGTATATAAAAAGATGGAGGTGAAAAAAACCAACAGAAGTTAATTTTTTATACTTTCTTCACATCTTATTCTAGCCATCAAGTATGTCTGTATCTTCCCCATTTTGAATAAGATTTATAAGATTTCTTTTTCTCTATAATTTACCCCTGGATAGTTATTAATTTCAGAGATAAAGCATGCCATTTTTACCCATTTAAATTACATACAAATTGAGCACCTGGAATAATAATGTAGGGCTTTGTAGAAGAATAAAGCTTGACAAATAGGTGTGAGCATAAAAAGAAACTAGTGCCAGTTTAAGGTATGCCATCTAGTGGATTTCTTAGGCTCCTACAAATGGTACCATCTAGGACTAAGCAAATGTAGCAAAGACATCTTTCTGGCTGTGGCCATTAAAAGCCAGATATTACCTTATCTATACACCTAAGTCAATTACATTAATTTTATTATAGCAATCATATTCATCTTTCCTTCCACCTATCTATACATTTATTCATTCAATAAATATTTACTGCCCACCTACTACAGGCTTTATTATAATTTAGAGTTGATCTTGTTTGAAGAAAGACAGTGTTATTAAACAAAATTTTACATGGCAAATTTAAGGCAAAAAGAAATCAGTGGCTCGTTGTTATTAGGCTTGTAATTATAATCTAACACCAAAATTTTATGGAAGAAATGACGAAAACTGTATAAATCAGTACTATTAGGTTTTAAAAAAATGAAACGCCATGGACATTTTCACTAACTCTTTCCTCACATGCCAGGAACATAATGATGTGGCACCTGACAGATGTGTACCAGTAGCCTGAACGGCACCCCACAACTCCAAAGCAGGAATACAGCCCCAGAATCAGGAAGTAACCTTAAAATGACCCTAAGCATTCAATATACACATCACAAAGTCTATGTATCAAAGAAAGGTCATTTTTTACTCCCAAGTGGAGGTCTTTCAGGCCTCCACTATGTGCCTTTTTAGTCTTATCTGACACACAACTCTGACAAACTTATCTCTTTCATTCCCAAGTATCAATTATATAAGGGGATAAGGCAGAGGAGCTGCTACATGTTATGCTGACATTTGTGAGAAGTGACTGGTGATCATCTATTAATATGCCAAACGATGAAAATACTCATGAGAACTTAAAGACCCAAAAATCTGTGGCCTGAAATAGACTACCTGGCACATTATTTAATTTTTTGATAATTTAAAATCAATAATATATTCAGCAATTGTTGAAGGTGCAGCCTTATAGCCATGTAGGAATAAAAAAAGAGATAAATGAAATTAGATTATCAAATTCAGCTCCACCACTTAAAAACTATGTGACCTTGAAAAAGTTAACCTTTCTACAGCGGCAGAGTTAACAAGCAGAATTAACTTTCGTAAAGTGTTTGGTACAACACAGGCACTCAGTAAACACGTGAGGTGAATGAATGGTAAGTATTAATTCTTACCATTCTACAGCACATTCTAATCACTGAGAACAAGCACAATCTAATTTTTATAGTGATGATCCTAACTCATAAGAAAACATCAAAATTCTTTACAGTGATACTAGGGACATATAACTAATAGTTTTTGTAAGTTTTAGCACTTAAAGAGATGTGACTTAGTAATATTAAAAACTCACATATCCAAAGTGATACATTTTTTTGAGTTTCAGATAGCCTAGATTTTACAAATAGTCTCAATCACATTTTAGGTTTGCAACAAATCCCTACATCTATATTCTGATTTATTTCAGTCCTAAAATATGTTCTTTTAACTCTGTACTAATTTTCATATTTAAAAATATACTCCTTCATCTCTTTACTAACAAATCAGCAAAGATTTGTATAAAACTTTAGTATTCAAAACTAAAATACATGTAGTAAAAGAAGCACTTTTAGTTCACTGTTAATATGAGTATAAATTGGTTTAAAACTTTGGAATTAGGCAATATGTATCAAGAGTTTCAAAAATATGATTTTGATAATTCTACTTCTAGAAATCTATTCTTTCTTCCTTTTTAATTATACTCCCATTTCATTTCGAAAAAGAATCTGAAGCAAATAGAACCTACCCCAAGGAAATAATCTAAAACATAAACAAAGATGTTCTTTATAATAGTAAAAAATATAAAAAGCAAAATGAAAAGGTAATAATTAAATAAATTGTGGTTTGGAGCCTCAAACAAATATTATAGAGCCATTAAAATAATGTTTATAAAGCAATTATAACATAGAAAAACGTTTTTGTTAAATTAAGAAAAAAAACAGAGGACACTAGAATAAAGCATTAAAAAAATAAACCTTGCATAGAAAAGACAAAATATATAAAAATATTATCGGTAACATTAAATGGTAGAAAATGGCTGATTTTCCCTTTGATTTTTCTTTTCTGTAGTTTCCAAATATTCTACACACGATTATTACTTTTATAATGGAAAAAATATGTAATGGTTATTTTTTATTTTTAAATAGCATGAGTTCAGTTTCTCTCATTTTTAACAAATTGCACATTCCTAAAATTGTGATGATCACTCACCTGTACGCATATATGTTGTGGGTGGCACTAGCTATTTTCTTATTCTCATACAATTTGGCAAGAACCATTTTCACCTTAAAAACAACATAATATAAATAAATTAATGTACACTTTTTATTTGTTCTGTATATAAATACTAGAAAAATATCTTAAAATATGTTGATATAAATACTGTGGTATTGAAATGGTTATTTAAAGAATCTTCTACACTCTAAAAAAGCCATTTCCAAAGTTTTTTCCTCATTTTAGGGGTAGAAACTGGTATTCTCAATTGTTACAAAAAGGCCAGACCTGGTATTTTTGAACACCAATTATCAACAAATATTTGAGCACTAACATGCCTAGGGTACTTGAACATGAAAATTTTTCCCTATGTAGAGAATTTTAAATGTAAATATGAGAATTTCTAAAAATTAGTTCTGGAAATTTACCAAATTTATGTATCCAGTATGATAGATACACAATAATGGTAGGTCCCATATGTTACAAAACCAAAACTCACTCTGGGAGTCATGTAAGGCTCATAGAAGAGGTAACAGGAGCCAAGTCTTAAAACATAAGTAGCAATTTTTATGCATCAGAGGGGAAGAAGGATATGGAGTAAGAAGAAGCCATTCCATTCACAAGAAATAGCATGTGCAGATGTATCAGATTTAGCAAATAAAAAAAAAGAATATTCGGTTAAGTTGGAATTTCAGATAAACCACAAATAACTTTTAACTATAAGTCGCACATAATAATGTTTATCTGAAATTCCAATTTAACTAGGTTTTCTATATTTTACCTGGCAATCTTGTCAGGGACATAAAAGAAGGTACAAGAAGTGACCAATAGTTTTATGTAACTGTAACAGAGTATGAATAAGATGTATCAGGAATGATAAAGTTAGGGTCATATCACAAACAACTTTGTATAATAAGCTTAGATTTTTCTTACAGACAATGGAAATCCCCAAAGATTGGCGGGGAGGAGTGGGAGAGTGACACATGGTCAGATCTTTTAGAAAGGTAATTGGCAAGTATAGAGGCAATATTGCAGATAGGGATGACTGAGTTGGAGTCAGGGAGACTGATCTGGATCAGAAATTGTGCAACCTTATGTTTATCATTTTTTAACCTTTCAGGTTCTCAGATTCCTGATCAATAAAATAGACATTAACCACTAAGATTTATTTCAGCTCTCATAAATTATGATCCTGTAAGTCTAAGTGACTATAATCAAAAACAGAAAGTGGATCCGGGATGAAGAGATTCAGAATAGAATATCTAAAAAGGACCTTGGCAGCAAATTATGAGCAAGTGCCATGGGCAAAACAGGGTTCCTGAGAGAAAAGTCCAGAAGCCTACATCAAAAGCTATCTTGACAACAAATCAATGCAGAAAAGAACTTCCTCTTTGATAGACTACCAGAGAGTGAAAGGGCAGCCTGCTAAAAGAATTGTATCCCTACAGGTCAATCTTTAGAAGAGCTTAGAGAATACAGCAGCTATAGAAACCAAAGGGAAGAAAATAACACTTACAATTTATGCTAAGGTAATGAGACTTTATTTTTTGTTAATTTGACTTTATAGGCAGTACTGAAACTGCCTCTTATGTCAATAAAGTTTAAACTAAGCCAGATTATTACACCAAAGAAAAAGAAAATGATTGTGTTGAAAAGAGAGTGAGAAAGACAAAGACCTAGAAATACAGTTTTTGAATGAAAAGTCTTCTATTTGACATCCTTGGGCAGGAATCAGGTCACCTAAAATCAGGAAGCAGCAAGGAAAAGGAATGCAGGTAGGGATGACTGGGCTCAGTCTGTCCACTTTCCCCTTAATTGGGCAACAATGGAACGGACTTGGTTTTCTAAAACTCCCATGCAATAGGAAAATAATTCTTTTTAACGAGCTATTAAACATCATAATTTTCTACAGCACCACAAATTTTTCTTGTTTGAAAATGCATTAGAGGGTTAGGCCCTAATTAGAGTTTAGATACAATTTTGAAAGCTGTGACAAACAGAAACAAAACAAACCTTCCATGATTCACAGTAATTTGAGGGTAGATAAATCAACAAATTATTTCTTATCTTTCACAAAAAAGAACTATTAATAATAGTAAATATAAGGATATTATTGCAAAACCATTTACTTAATTACTTTGGTAAAATAACGTCTAAGTGAGCTGGACACAGTAACTTTACCTGTTTGGGACAAACCACTGGAGCCAAGTGTGCCTGAAAAGTACTTCTTCGGTCTGTAATAGGAATTCCATGATCAATCGGAGGTAATTCTTCTATTTCTATAAATTTAAAGAATTATGTTACTTTTATTTTTAAAATTCATACATTCAAATGCTAAAAAACTGGCAATGATATGGGCGGGGGTGGAGGGAGAGAGTTGGGAAAGAAACATAAATTATATGGCACATCAACCCAAATGCCATTAATAGTTACCTATTAAAATTAAATTATAATTTTAAGTAAAAAGTTTTCAAATATATTGTACAGAACATAAATCTACTTGACTTACAAATGATTTTCATCTGCCAAGGTCACCCAGATGAAGTGGTGGGTTGGAATTGAAATCCTGGACTGTGGTAATAGTATAACTTAGTACAGTATTTAATTTTTAAGAGTATAAAGGGGTCCTGAGACCAAAAGGATTGTCAGCTGTAAATATACCATCATTTACTTATCCATTCTACTGTTAATAGACCTCTGGGTTTGGAAACATGACTTTATTTTGTATAGCTATCATCTAGTGTCTTCTGCTAATAACTGTTCCTACTTCATAGGATTGAATTAAATATATCAATAATATACCAAATTGGTATTCCATAGGGTATCATGATTTCCAGTTATTCTGCCTCTTAAACAAATTTAAGAACCACTAATTTATCCTTAACTCTGTTGAGAAACTTACCAACCATCCTGACTGCTACACAGCCCTCATTTAAGATGAAAAATTATTCAGGAAAAAAAATAATTAAATTTTTTTCCTATTTCTAATTCACTGATCTGTTGAATCTTACCAAGTCAGCCTGCCTTACAACTGATGAACTACTTCAACTAACACACGTAAAAATATTTCTGGGTATCTCTAAACTTGCCAAAAATCACTGCACTGGTTTTGTGGCAGGACTAGGACTAGAAACCAGGTTTATGCAGGATGTTTTACCTTCCCCAACAGTAACCTCTTCTTGAACAGACTGTGACCACTGTGCAAGTGCAGTACTAAGGTCAATATGAACTGGATGTTATTTATTATGACTGTGATTTTCACTCTTTTAGTGGATACTGTTTCCCAAAAGAAATCTTACCCCAAATCCACAAAGATATAAACAAATAAAATGGAAGCTACTTAGATTGAAGCAGCGGTAGGAGTCCTGGATCCTCTCCCCAACTCTTTCACTCCCTCTTCATCCCCTTCCACTAGCCCTGTGACACCATGCAAGAACTTTAAACCTTCATATTACTGTTTAAAAGCTACTGTATAATGGCACAGGAAACTCCTTACCTTCAAAGAGACTGAATGTTCCCTCTGGCCTATCATGTTTTTGTAAGAGACTTGAGGAAACTGATGATACCATTCAAAATTTTAAAATGCAAAATGGAACATACTTTCTGATAGAAATATAGAGCTGATTTATCATATCAACCTTTCAAAAGTTGAACACCACTTATTTATGGAAGAAATTTGCTCAAGCAAAAGCTAAAATCTTAAAGGTATTGTACTAGCCTTAATTCAATGGTTGTACTTTCAATTATGATATTTATTTTGTGAGCACAGACTAAAATTTAACTCTTGGGACATCTGAGAATTTTAAAACAGAAATATAAAAACAGGATGTGAAAACATTAAGACAGCTTTTCTTAGTTTCAATTTATCTCATCATTAATTCAAAACTCTAGAAAGTAGCAAAAAAATAAAAATAAATTTATAATTTTTTCTTCACTATGATAGACCCAGCAAAAATGAAAATGGCTAGCAGGCAGGAAAAAAAGAAAACTAATTCTCTGCAAATTCTTAACTATTTCCTGTCACGTAGGAGTTGACTAAATTTCTAAACCACTCCAAAAACAATTCATAATACTACCAGCCCACTTTCCTCAAAAGAAATTAGTAACATTATACCTCTTCGATTTTCACTGATATCGAAATCCAATGCTTTAACTGAATTTTCTAGTTGGCATGCTAAAATGATATCCTCTTCACACTGAACATCTTCCTCTTCAGTTTTCTTCTTTACATCCTGGCCTATGTAGATATAAGACATTATGAGTGATCTATGAGACACTTAATCATTAGTCTTGGTCTCTAAACGTTATTCTTCAAAAGAAGGAACCAGGGCTTCTACGAGAAGTGGTAGATTATAGGGTTGAAGCAAGGAAAATGCAAGATGAGCCTGAAATATTTGAGATTCCAGAAAGTAAAAAAATGTTCAAAAAAATATGGGAGCTTTTCAAAAGAACACAAGAGTCTACCTGGATATCCTAAAGGCCAAACCTGCAACAATTTGAACAACAAAATAATGGTAGCATGAAATTTTAACCCATGGAACAAAATAATATACATGAGTTCATACTAATATAAATAATCTATCAAATAAATTAATGGAGAAAAGAGATATGTCTTCTTCACAATAGAATTCCAATTAATAAATATTGTAATAAATATTGTTGACAAGATATACTAATGAATACTAAAATTAGTGAGTGAAAGTTTAAGGAGGAATAGGATATTAAGCATAGCCTCAAAGTATCTCCCTCCTTATAAATTAAAAAGGGAAAGATAATAACTGTGTTGGTTAATTTCATATGTCAATTTGACTAGGCCAAATTGTCCCAAATTGTCCCAGATATTTGGTCAAGTACTATTCTAGATGTTTCTGTAAAGGTATTTCTTGATGAAATTCACATTCAAATCAGTTGACTCTGAGTAAAGCATACTGCCCTCCATAATGTGACTGAGCTTCATCCAGTTAAGGTCTTAATAGAAAAAGGACTAACTTCCTCAGAGGAAGAAGGAATTCTACCAGCAGACAACTTTAAGATTTGAGCTGCAACATCGATTCTTCCCTAGGTCTTCAGCCGACTCAAGATTTTGGACTTGCCAGCCTCCACAATCTCGTAAGCCAATTCTTTAAACAAATCAATCACCCTCTCCCTCCTTCCTTTGCTTTCTCTCTCTCTTTCTCTCTCTCTCTCACCCACACACACACACAAAATACATACACATCCTGCTCGTTCTGTTTCTCTGGAGAACCTTGACTAATACAGTGTCTTTGCAGTGGAGATATCTAGCAGATACCACCTTAACCAAGGAATCAAGATAAACATCACCAATAATAAAGCATACTGATATCAGGAGCTCTTTTATATAATGCACTGTGAAGGAAACAATATCATTTTTGCGGTATTCTTGCCAAAATGCCTAATATTACTCCAATCATGAGAAAACAATGGACAAACCCAAATTGAGGGACATTCTACAAAACAATTGATCAGTTCTCTTCAAAAATGTCAAGTCATAAAAGGTAACAAAAATCAAAGAAAGACTGAGGAACTGTTTATAGCCTAGAAGAGAGTAAGGAGAAATAACAGCTAATACAACATTGACTCCTAGACAGGATCCTATAACAGCAGAATAGACTTTAATGGAAAAATTATAAAAATTAGAAATCTAAATAAGCTCTTTAGCTTAGTTAATATTACACCAATGTTAGTTTCCTGTTCTTGATAATTATACTATAGTTATGTAAGATGTTAATAGGGGAAGCAGGGATAGAGATGAAAGCTTTTTATACTATTTTAACTTTTTTGTGTCTAAAATTCAGAATTTTTAAAAATTGTAAATAGTTGTATTTAATTATTTCAAATTTTTCCTATAGTAGAAAAAAACAATATGAAATAATAAAGAATAAATATCTACTTAAGAATAACAGTAAAATCAAAGTAAATTATTTGTCAACTAGGTGCCTTAGAGAGGAAAATTCTCATGAGATACTCTGATCACTAGCTTCTAATTTATTAGTTCTTCAGAATTACTAATCCTTTCATTTTAATATGAAGTCTACCAAAAGTTTCTTATAAAAAATTTTTCAAACAAAATTTCTAAAAATTATAAATTGTAAATTTTACAAAACAAATAAATAACTCTAAAATTTGAAGACCAGTTAAACTAAATTTTGGATATAGGTGGGAAGGGAAAATATCATTTTTAAGATCAATACTTTTTAAAATGTATTCCTAAGAGATGATCCCAAAATTTAAATTTAGAGTCCCAAATTTTTACTGGCATACATTTAATTTTTGCAATTATCCCCGTAGTGTAGAATGGTGGATGGGCAAAAATCAATATTTTTTTCAATTACAGTTGACATTCAATACAATTCTGTTTTGAGACCACTTTTTTCATAAATGCCCTGAAATGCTGCAAAATCAGAACATGGATCATAAAAAGTTAAGGAAAATACTTCAAAGATTATCACGTGGACAGAGTATCTTCATTTATCTCTTTGATTTTAATGGAACCAGTAAAAACATTTGCTTCTACAGAAAAATAGTAAAATGCTTTGAAAAAATATATACTATCAACTTTAAATATATACTAACAGAGTCTTAAATAATTGGTTCTGTATAAATAACCGTCTAAAACATTAGTAAATAAACTACTGGGGTTTTTTTACTCCCTCTTTTCCCAAATTGAAAGCTATTCTATCAATAATAACAAAATTCTATCTGGAAATAAAATCAGGTTAAACGGTTATTTTCCTCTCTAAAAGGCTTTTGTGGTTAAATGGAACAAAGTATAGGAAACGTTAAAAATTTCCATGTTGTCATATTTAATGATTCAATAAAAGAATAATAATAAAGCCAAATATCAATTTTCAAATGTCCTGAAATTAGTGGTGATGGTTGTACAACTTTGGAATATATTAAAAAACCACTCAGTTATACATTTTAAAGGGCAAATAATTATGGTATGTGAATTACATCTCAGTTTTAAAAATCAATTTTCAAAGTCGAATTTTATATCCCAAATATCAGTGTGTTTTTCAAAGTTCTTTTTCTATAAACATGACACTTACTGGAAGCTAATATCTAACTGATGTAGTCCAATAATTCATGAAGACTGTTGCATGGTAATGTTGCATGCATATTACCTTAACAATAATCAAAGAAAGATTTTTTTTTGACCCAAGTTCTTTAACCATAAAATTCTATTTCTACAAGACTATAATATGAAACCAAAGAGGCTAAATCTTATACAAAGAAATAACCATAATTACATGAGTAAATGAACTTTCCAAAGAAATATAGGTTTTCATTAAAAATTTCAATTAGAATGTTCATGTGAAAATGTAATTACTTTAAGTTAAAAGAGCACTGATAATATTTTTCAATCCTACCTGGTTCAGTCATCTGAGATTTTTGTATAAGAACATCTCTTATTTTCTCCACCCATAGGTAAAGAATACTTTCACCAATATTCTGTCTAAACAAAATTCAGGGGGAAAATATTTGTTATTTAAAAAAATATCTTTCTCAAATTCAAGAAAAAACAGACATAATTACAATCTAAGTCATTCTATGCAATCCAGCCATGCCTTTAAAAAAATAATTTATAAAAACATGAGATTCACTAACATTTGTAGATGAGTATTTAATATAGATTATTTATATCAACATTAAAAATCCCAACTGGCTCCAAAAATAACACTGCTTACTTAAAATAAACAGAAGAGTTGCAATAAAAGAAGAGAAAGAAAATTTCTGAACTTGAATTAGATGAATTAGGTAGATGTAAATGTTAATATAGTTTCAGTATTGATGTCTGATGATGGCATGGTTTCCTAAATTTTTGAACAGTTTCAAACCACTTACTTGGTACAGTTATCATTTGGTATACTGATTTCAACAAAGAATACAAAGCATTTGAAGAACTCCCTCAGAAAGCCAATTTACAAGACTTAAAAAACAATCAATGTAACAATTTTATATTCACATTTTGTATTCTATTGCTCAAATTGATTCATTTTGGTTCCAAATAATGTCTGGCTGCCTCTGATAATTAAATCTATTTCAAAGGATCATTGAGAAAAAGAATATGTCATGGTTTATGTCTACAGAATTATGTTGAATAATGGCAACAGCAATAAAATAAAGGCCCAGGTGTTTACTCTTTAGAGAATGACACTAATTTTAGAAAAGTTTTAGTATATGTATTTAAAGAAATCACCACACTACTTCATAACAACACCTTATCTCCTTCCTCTGAAAGTTTCCCTTGAAACCCTTATCTCTCTTTATCACAACTCATAAGCACCCACTAGAGGAAATTTTCAAAATATGCATACAGAAGAAAACAGTTTTCAAATAATTCAGTACCTCAAATTCTCTCCATCTCACCCATAACTCCTTAGCAATCCTGTATTTTTTGGTAACCTGTCTTTTTAGAGGTAGCAAGAGTTCATTGAAAAGGTTTTTTTTTAAACTGAGAATGTTGGTCGAGTTTCTTTTAAACAATTCCCACTCCCATCCTCTTCTAAGTAATACTTAGAGATATAGAGGCAGAGAAAGGTACAAGGTATTGAGTATATACTAAGCCCAAAGTAAATTGTATGTGTCAACATAATTCATACTCATAATTGGCTAATGAAGTATTACTTCCCCATTGTACAAATGAGAAAAAGGATCTAGAGAGAGAGTTAACTTGTCTAAGAGAGTCTTATAAGCAGTAAGAATTCCATAGCCAGAATGTGAATGCAGACTTACTCCAAAGCTCAGGTTGCCCACTGCAGTTAGCTCTCCCATCAAGCAGCTGTGCCCTTAGGCAAGTAAGCCACTTTAACTCTGTCTCAGTTTCCTCATCTATAAAACAGATTTAGAGCATCTTATCTTACTTTACAAAAGTAGTTTATTTTTAAGTGAACTGTCTTAATTCACTCAACAAATCTTTAAGGGCCTAGAAACTGAGCACTACATGCAGTCCTGGGGGTATGGTAGTGAATGAGAAAACTGGGTCCCTTATCAGTGTAATCATTATCCTTACAAATATGTGGTTTTATAATCATTATCCTTACAAATTTATAGAGATGGCGTCTCCGTCTCCTAATCTCATTCTACTGAATTCTTCATATCATCATCACCAAAATTAGTAATACTAATACCTAGTATTTACTGAACACTTACTATATGCTACATAGAAGATATGTAGAAAATGCTTTGTTAATTACTTAATCCTTACAACCACCCTTTGAGACAGGAAAATCAGCCCTCTACGCATATACATTCACATTCAGATTTTGCTCGTGATGGGAGGGAACATTTTGGAAGAATTGTAACAGTAAGTAATATTTCCAAATAATAAAGAAGAAATTAAACCTTAACTCTAAATCTCCTCTCTTCTGGCCCAGGGCTTCCTGCAGAAAAATATCCAAAAGCTCTTCTGTCCAACTCAATGCTTCCTTCTTCTCTAGTATTTAACAAGACTTACTGAAATAAACCCAGTCAAGGAGGTTACAGTGGGTGTGAAAAGTTTCTTGAAAAAGATAAAAATTATTCTTTCCCTTGGACCCTCAAATTCTATCACTGATGGTAGTTTTTTTAATTTGTTGATATTACTACTGTATTTGTTTTCTCGAGATAATGGTTTGTTATCTTTTTAAGTATGCACTAGGATTTGGCGGTTTTCAAACTTTTGCCATTGCTTAACGAAATCTCTCTCAAAATCAGAAATAAATTAAAAGAGACAAGAGCCGGAAGTTCTCCCTCCTGTACCTCTTCTCTCATCCCCAAAGAGTTCTTGAGGAAATTAGCTAAATCCTAAGGGCTCTGGTACAAAATCTGAGAAGTACTCGTTATAGAGCAAAATCCCAAGTTTGTATTTACGAAGTTATGATAAAGTAGCTAAATATAAAAAGCCTGGAAAAACGTTTGTTTCAAATGGAATAAAAGAACAAGCTGGATTAAAAACTGATATTTTAGTTGGAATATTTTGTGAATAACTGTACTTAAATAACTACTATCCAATCCAGAATGATCATAACAAAGTTACTTAAAACTCTACCTTTACTTGTGACTTTAATATTTCTATCTTTAATTTTCCAATATTTTTATTTGTTGATTTAAGGGTAAAGCTACTCACTGAAATGCACTAAGTTGTGCAACCTTAGACATATCACTCCATCTGTCTGAATTCTCTTCTCATTTTCAAAATAATAAAATTAGATGAGACGATTCTTAATAAGAACAAAAATGAAAGCTGTTATACACTGCTGACTTATAGGAATTGTCATTTAATCCTCACAGTGATATTATCCTATTATCATCACTTTACAGGTGAGGAAACAGACTCAAAGAGGTCACACTATTTCAAAAACTGACTCCAGAGGCCTAAGACAAAAACTTCAGCTTAACTAAACTTCAGGCAGACAGAACTTCCTGACTCTAGGCTCTGACCTCCCTTTTCTTAGAGTATTTTCTTTAGAACACTTGTCATTATAAATGCTTTGCTCTTTTGGGTCTTCCTCAAGGACCTAGCAGCATCCCTTTTGAAATGTAGTCATCAAGGAAAACAGTGCCCTTATCTGCCAGTCTCTGTAAGAAGGCAGGAGCCTAACTTCAAATGAGCAGTTAGCAAACACAGAGGGCCTAATCAGAGAAATACATTGCAAACTCAGGAAATAACAATGTGCTAGACACGTCCCAATGATCAACCTCTTCCCAACATTCCCCAGGACTTTCCTACTCGTGCATACCAGCCCTTAAAAATCCTCCTGCCTTTTGTGTCAGGAAGTCGAGTTTAGACTGAGTTCTGGTCTCTTCCTGCTATTACAACAGTTCTGAATAGCCTTCTTTGCCTGTTTAACTTTACCCAATGCAATTTTTGCTTTGATACACCTCACTCTCCAACTTACACATCTAAGACTCCAGGATACATCAAAATATGAAGAGCTTTGGGAAATTAAAATAATCATTTTCTTAGATTTTAAATTAATGTTGAAATGGGCCATCATAAATTCAAATACTACAAAAAAATTCTAATCCCTTTCATTTTCTCTTAAACAATACTAACTTGTATGATGTTCTAAGCATTTTAAATCTGTTATTTACCTTTGGTTTTATTAAAATTATTTTCATATATTCAAAATATCCACATGCAAAATATTTAAAGATATTAGCAAATTAATCTACACCTAATCAACCACCAAATCTCAGTTTATATTCTTACGTCTCTCTTAAACTGACCATTTCTCTCCACCCACATTCTTATTGTCTTAATAAAGGCCTCCACCATCTCCCTCCTGAGTTTCTGATTGTTCTTCCTATGGTGTCCCTCCCTAAAAACTCTTCAAACTATCCTCTACACCGCTACATAAATCTGATTAAATCACCACCGCTACCCAACATCCACCTAAAACACCCAGAGCCTACGAGATAATGCCCAAACTCCTTATTCCAGCTTATAGGTCCTTTCTCCTTACAACTACCTCAAATTATATACCTGGTATCTTAAACTACTTGCTGAACTCTGAAGATGCTTCACACCTACGTGATTTCGCTTTTACGGTTCCTTCTATCAGAAAACCTTTCCCTTCTGATTACCTGGCAAACACTGTTCTCAAAAGTCACTTTAAAGTGAAATCCTCCTTTACAACCTCACCCACATGCACAGAGATCATTTGCTGCTAAAACCTCTAAAAAAAGCTATAACACTTGGTCCAAACCTCTCAGTAATTATGTTGATATATTGTATTGGTACACGTCTATCTTAATTTTTAAATACCAAATGCCTAACGGAGTGCCAGCGTATAGGAGATACGCAATAAATGTTTATGGAAAAACTACTAGTTTTCTGACTTCTTTATTACCCACGTAAGAAGAAACAAACTATAATTTGTCCTCTACCTTGGCAAAAATCAAATTTAGCATTCGAAATGATGCTAAATATGAAAATCTCGATAGTTACAATATTTAGAACATAATGAAATTATAAACATTGACAACTACATTCATACATTTATCTCAAATTTAATTTTCAAAGAACAATAATATTTTCACTTGCTGCCCCCTGCTGGAGTTTTGTGGAAAAGTATAATTAAAAGTTGTCACACAAACTTTTAAAAACAGAATGTGTATTTCTATTTAGACCACATGTGTGAAAATACTACCATTGGACTTGGGTGATTCAAGCACTTTATTAAAAAAGAAGACAGTATGAACCATATTCCATCTTTAGAACAACTTGCTTTGTAATTTCTGATACTTCCTAAATAGCTCAAGTGAACTAGTAAGGAGGAACAGTTAAGTTGTGTCCTATGGGAGTATATCTCTTAGTAAAATTGGGGCAAGGACTTTTTTGGAAAGAGAAAAGACAGATGGGACGCCATTTCAGAGTGCACGACATTGTACATAGGTAGGAGAAAAATTTTACTAATATGATTAACATGATGGAAGCCAAGTGTGGGAAGATTTTCAACCCTACTGACTTATAGAAGTCAAGTAAGAACTGAAAAATAACCAGAAGAAATACAATCACTACATCACTAGTGAATAAATTTGTAATATATTTACCTTATTCTACTTAAAGTGGGGAGATAAATTGGTAAATAAGCATAAATCCAGGATTACAGAAAGAAGTTTGTTGGGGCACAAAAGTAGAAGTGGCCAGTAAGGTTAGAGAAAGGTATCAGAAAACATTTAATTGAGGAAATAAATACATATATGCTGAGGATGATGGAATTACAAAATGGGAGTATTCCCTAATGGTATGTTCTTGGTTACTTCTGAAGTCAAGTGTAAACTTGGGAACTCAAGGAAGACCACACTTCCTCTAGGAAGGAAAGAACAGAACCAAACCATTTTTTAATTAAATATTTTAGGAGGAAAAGAAACCTGGCCCAGATCCAGAAATACAAAGAGGGTACTCTCAGTGTACCAAACGCATGGCCACTGAGAATATACGATACAATCCTTACCAATTCATGGTTACAGTAAAACTGATATTCCAAAACATGTTTTACTAAATTAATATATCTCATTAAAATTAATCCAAATCAGTCATATCTTCTCTGGACTACTGCATTAGCCTCATAACTGATGTCCCACATCTATTCTTGCTCCCTTCCAATCAATCTCCACAGAGAAACAGAATGGTGTTTTCAAAAAGAAAATCTTATCACAGCATCGCACCACTTAAAACCCTTCTCTGCTTCCCATGGGTGTTAGGATAAGGTCAAAAATCTTTTACAGGGCCTACAGGACTCTGCATGACTTTCCTACCTACCTCGCCAGGTCATTTTCCAACCATGCTGTGGCCTTTCACTGGAATTATTTTCACCTAAGTAACTCAGCTCTAAGTCAAACCTCCTAAACTACAATGGGTCTTATTTCAAACTCAGTTAGTACTACACATTTATATCTTTCTTTTACAGAACTTATACAGCTGCAGTTTTATATTCATTTTTATGATGTTATATCTCTCCTACCAGTAAATTCTAAATGCCACAAAAACAGGGACCATTTCTGTTTTTGCTAATTATGTGTATCCAGGATCTAGTATTGGGTGCGTGATATAGTATTATAACATTTGTTGAATGAATGGAACAGTGAAAAATACAGTATATCAACAGACTCTATCTAAGTCTTATGACCTAAGTCAAGAAAATCACCATTAAAAGTATACAGTAGTTTAATAAATAATTATGCTTAGAATTCTGTTACCAGTTTCATTCACCACAGCCTATGAAAATATCAAAACAAGAGCCATGTCTCTGAACTTACTTTCACAAGCTGGCTAAGTGTTTTTATAGCTACTAGTTCTATATATTACTATATGTTGTATCTAAGTAGAAGTCACATAAGTGTCTATATAAAATTATATAATCAATCTTTCAAGGACTCTTCAAGTGTATACTTTTTGTTAATGGAAAGGTGGCTTAACAAAAAGTTTGGAAAAGGCCCTATCACAGTACCAACAAAACTCCACAACGGGATCACTAGTAGAATTTTCTGAATCATCTGTTACTTACATATATATTTCCTCAAGGCTATTCGATAAATCTGCACGTTCTTGCCCTTTAAGCCAAGGAGCACTAAGATTAAATAAAACACAGAAAAGATTATTTGAGGATTCTATTTATATATTAAACAGAAATTACTGATTAAACCACAAGTCAGTTTTACTTAACTTTTAAAAATCATCTATTTTCATTAAAATGTTATTTTATATTGTTTAAATCTATACAGTTCAAAAATGCTTCCACTGGCATTAACTCGTTTAGTTCTCCCAGAAAACCATGATGAAGCCAATACCAATATTATTCAATTAAAATATGGTTTAAAAAATAACAGTGAGTTAATAGGATATTATAAAACAACACAGGTTTACATAAGTGGCAGGACAGGTTCCAGAATCTAAATTTCCAGATTTACAGTATTTGCCACACTATCAGAAAATACTAATTTTTTCTAATTGGTATCTCGAAACAACTCTAACAAGTAAGCTAGTTGCCACATGATTGTAAAAACAATATTAACTTTTTCTGAAAATGGCATTTTTGTTTACAAGCATTCTATAATTACATCATTTTCAATAAAAAAAATTAAAATTACAGAAAATTTTATTGCTATGGTTTTAAAACACTCATACTAAAAATCCCACTGGTAGGTAAAAATTTTAGCAATTGAGATTCCATGGAATTCTGTTCACACAGATTTATACAACTCAGGAGGTCAAGAAGATAAGGTTCATCAAAGGTCACTTGCAAACAGATCAGCACTCATTAAGATTAAGCTTTGGTGGCTGAGAAAATGGTTCCTCAACCATAATGGGCAGGAAGAAATACCAGAAGCACCATGGATAATTCCTGGAAGGCAGGCAGTCTTAGGCAGAGGCATGTCAAGAAACTGTGGCTATTTTACTCTATGAACCCCATGATTCTTTCATACTAAGTGATATACTTCAGTGTGTTTTTATATAATTTATTTAAATGCTCTATACCAAGCCCAAAGGGATTAATTTCTATATACATCTTTACAAGAAAGGTGTTTTATAGCAACAAAATGCACAGTATAAACAATCTTTGAAAAGCATGATCTTTTTATAAAAATATAAATGTAGAAATAGAGCTTACTTCAGTTGATAAATAGGTGGAGCTGTACCTGGGTATTCATTCGGTAGCATCACCTACGAAGCAGTTTAAAAACAAATTGGTTTATAATTCATGGCTCAAAATAACAATATTTTTAAAGCTAGTCGCTGGATAAATTTCTAACTTGCAAAACTAATAAACAAAACCATTGTTTTGTTAAATCTCGAGGGAGAATCCCCTCCTATTTATACTTCTGCCTTACATATGTTGCTGATGATGCCAATTTTTTAAGAAGGGTTCATTATTTGCAGAGAAAGTATAAAAGCAATGAAGTTAGGCAATAAGGGTGGAGAGGAAAAAGATTTTAAAAAAAGAAAAACTGAACAGCGGCATTATACCTTAACCCTAAATAAATACAGTGGCATTATAACATGTTTCAGGGATTTTTCTGAAAAAATACTAAGACAAAAATCGTATTAAATACTGTTAAATATATCATCAGCTAACACTTAGCAAACCATACAGATTTCTTTTCAAAATAGTATTATTAAAAAAACAAATACTGATGAAAACGCAATTTAGCATCTCTTATGTTCCAAGTATAGGTAGTCATTAAAGAATAAGCATTAAAACAGACAGCCATACTGGTCTTTTTATTTTTTTTAATCCTAACCACAACTGACTCCTAATTAATAAAGAAATGAGTAGCCACTCTATGAACTATCTAAATTACTATCTATTCTTCCTCTTAAATGTTATTTATTTTCCCAGGTTTAGACCCTCTCTTATTAAATGGACAAGATAATGAAAGGAAGCGAAACTCGAGTCTATCAATGGTACATTAAGAACATTTAAATAATTAAAATAAATGGAATAGGAAAGATTGAGACTATACATTAAAGCGTGACTTAAGTATGGACTGAGATTTAATTACCCATGTTTAGGCAATCAATCGTTGATAATAGCCAATAAAAAAGACAATTTAGAAAAAAATCATGCAAGAAAATCATTAGAGAAATACAATAGTCAATCATACAGTCAATGTTTTAACTGGTAAATGGCTGTAAAGAAGGGGAAAAGAATACCTGCAAGCAAACTGTCCACTTAGGGTCATCTATATCGTCGCTAATTCTAATACAAAATATTTTGGCACAGTCGTCAATGACACACCATTCCTCACCATATATAGCTGCCATTGCTTCAATTTCCTCATTCTGAAAGTTGATGGGGAGAAAAAGTCAGTGAATGTGCATATCCTAAAAACTTTAGGATAAAAAGTTTTCCTTACTCCTTTATAAGGCAATTTGCTTTTAACATTACTAGCCTGGATGAAGGACCCCTGAATGAACACTGCCAAACTTTCCTAGCAGCACGTCTACTCTGGGTGGTTGCCATACACTATCGCTATGGCTGGAACCAGCCGTGCTAAATAGACTGTGCTTTTGGCCACTACTGAGCTAAAATATGTATGTACTCCCATAACCTGTAGAGAGATTCACGAATGAATGGATAAAATATATTCTCTGCCCTACTTTCTCATTTTTAACAGGTAATCCCCACCCGCACTCTCTAGCCATATATTCCTACTGGGTATCTCCTTCCGTTGTTTTTGTTTTGGATTTGGGCACAAGGCTGAGTGATTTTTTTGGTAATCAAAACATTTCAAAATTATTCTTTTGGTTTGGGGTTAAGAAAGAAAAATAATTGGAGCTAAAAGTGAAACGAGAAACAAAGCATGCATTCAACTTTTGTACCAGCTCATTTTCTCCTCACAGCCCAGTAGGAAAAGCTTTAAGGGCACGCACGTGAGCCACGCACAGGGGAAAGCTCAATACCACGAGGACTAAGAACCGTGGGCCTTCAGGGAACTCCAGGGTCTGTGAAGTACCGCCCGTTTTTCAAAAGCAAAAACCGAGGTTAAGTGACTTGTCCAAGGCGATCCGGAGGCGACAGGACAGGGGACAAAACCCGGGTTTCTGGCTCCGGCCTGGAACTGCTCAATCACGTGCTAATGGTTTCACGATGACACCCTCTGAGACAGGCCCAGCCCGCCGACGACCGGGAGCGGCCGGCCTGAAAGTGCTCAGCCGAGAACGAGCGCCAAGAAAATAGTACGCGGCGGAGCAAACGGCGCGGCTAGCCGCACAGGCGGGACCGGGATCGGACCTGGGCGGAAGGCCCCTCAGCAGAGGAGGCCCGGGGCGGTGAGACGAGGCCGAGCCAAGCCTGGAGGTCGGCGCCACGCCGGGGCCTCACCTGCCTCTGGTCGCTCCCAGCGTCCCCCTCAGCCATGTGGCCCGGAGAGCGGCCCTGCTGCCGCCACCTGCCTAGGTCCGGAGGTCGGGGGCGGGGCGCTGCGACGGCGAGCGAAGCACAACCCGGAACCGCAACCCGGAACCGCAACCCGGGCCGTGCCGCGCAGCCCGCATCTGCTTCCGGGTTGCGGGCCAGGTGGTGAGAGGCGTTCGAGCAGCTGCGGCTCCCTACCTTGGTCTGGCGCGCGGCTTACTCCTCCCCCTCAGTGGGGCCCGGGGGAAGCTGTCCTTCCTGAGGGGCGGCCAAGATTTTCTTGGCTCCTTCTCCTAGAAACTCGGGGGAGCAGGGGGCTCCTGCTTGCCCACCGCCGCTTCTGCACCATCAGAACTCCCCAGGAGACGCTGGGGAGTCGGCTTTACCGCCGCCTCTCAGGAAGGGATTGGACCTCAGTCCACAGCCCCAAACTCCTTTGCACTTCAGGACAGGAGGGGGTTTTTTTTGTTGTTGTTGTTGTTTTACGTGTTTTAAAATATTCTGTCTGATTCGAGCAAGAATGGGCTTGACTTACCAAAATCTGGAGAGCAGGAGTGGGCTGGCGGCAATTTTGAAAGCGGTGGAGAAAAACTTACCCACCACTCACTGTTTTATTGTGACAGTTTTCTTCAGTGTTCTTGGACATTTTGTCTGGGAGCAACTTCCTACAGGACTCTATGCCGGTCAACATTAGGATCATGGTGTCATCCAAAAAATTTGAATGAGTTTGTATCATGTCTCTTCCATGCCCATGCGCACATTCCAATACATTGGTTATGAATTATATTGGTCACTTTATTGGAGACACCTTAGTCAAGCCACCAATTCTCTTACTTGGGAGGTATTCTATCCCCTTTTGTCTCACTTTTTTCACACATAAGCAAATAAAAACTCAAAATAGTACATTGTTCCTCCCGGTCTTCTTTAATCATAGGCAGGTTTTAATTTTTCTTTATTCTGCATTTAAGAAAAATTAAAGGATGCACTGCATAAGTACCTGTAAAGAATTCTGCCCGATTTACTTCGAGGGAATCCAGTATGAGTTTGTGAGATTATTAATTCAACAGACATTTATTAGGATCTTATTGTGCTAAGCTTTGGAGATACAGAACCATATGTCATGTATTGCCTTTAAGGAGCTAAAATGCGGGGAACAAAAGTAAATCAGCATTCACATGGACTAGAATCATGTCCTTGTACTGTGTTAGTAGCACAAAGAAGTCCCATCCATCCAAATTTTATTGGGCATCTTGTTCCAAAGAATGCTTGAGTTATAAAAGAACAGAGAGGTTAGCTAGTTGAAGAAGAGGAGACTTTGCTCCAGGAGAGAAAAATATTGGCAGAAAAATGGTGGCTTATTTAAGGAACTTCATGCAGTTCATTGCTTCTGACCTTACAGCTGTTAACTTCCTCTTGTCACATGGCTTGCATAGCCCCTTTAGGATTGTCTCCATAAATCTGCACATGTGCATTCATTTTGGTTTCAAGAGAGGATTTGGAGGGGTTTAGCCCTTTGTGATGTCAGTTATATCTCCTACATCCAGTTAATTCATTTGGACAGTGTATTTACTTCTGTCATCTTGAGCAAAAACAGTTTCAAGCCCTAACCAAGCTTCCAACCACGTTGGGCCCCAGGGTTCACCGTGCAGTCATTCCATTATTTCTCTTACAGGTGAAGAATTTGCCTGGAAGTGCTGAGGGGTTTGGCCACAGTTAATCTCCAAGTTGCATGGAAACTTCTTTAGTTATGTTAATCATAGCTAGCTGTCCATCCATTGTTCAAGAACTTTCCTTCCTTCATTCTGGCCTGTCACTGGTTTCTATATATGTCTTACACCTTCTGTTGCATAAAATAGTGGTTTTCACACTTCAAAAGCAACAGAATGCTTCTTCAATGAAAGCTGATATAAAAACAGATTAGGATGTTTTGACTAAAATACGGTGATGAGCCTTAAATCCCAACTACTCAGCACCTCTTCCTCCCAGTGGCCTTTCAAAGACTAAATTCAAATTTGAAAACTACCACACTAAAATGTAACAGAAAACAATGCACAGCAAAACTTAACCATCTGAACAAAGCACGGTATATCTAATTTATTACACAAAGCATCTCTTACCACATATCATATTATTAGAGAACAAAATTCAATGAAGTAAATTTGAAGGTCTAACTGCTTTATTAAATGATTCATTAATTGATCAGCATCTCATCTAACAACTAGAAGCATTCTCCAAAGGGTTGTACAAAATGGAAGGTTTTTATAGGCAGAAAGAGGGGGACTAAGAAGTTAGGAGTGGATTATTTCAGGCAGCGACACTTCCCTTGGGGAAGGGAAGGGGATCTAATCAGGCAAATTACCTCACTAGTGTCCATCAGAAAAATTCCAGACTGAATGGTTTAAAATTCCACTTGTGGGAGAGGCTGAAACTGCATTTAAGTTATATATTAAGTTTTGGTTTGGTGATATGGCCTAGCAAAAGTGACCCCATTTTCGTTCCATTGTTATTTTAAATAATAGCAACCAAGTCTATCTTACTTTCTGCAGTTGACACCAATGATTTTTTAGTAATTCATATTTCCTCTAGCTAGAGCCTTTTAATCTTTTGAGCTCAGATTCTAAACAGAAATGAATGTAGGGAAGAGGCAAGGGAACTAAAATGTCGAATCAAGCTATATTCAGAGACTGCAATATGCTGCTCGGCCCTCCAGCCAAACCATAAGAAAACCTGCAGAACAAAGGAAGATTTCTGTTAAGATTGCTAACAAACTAAAAAATCCTAGACTATGAAGAGAAACAAGAAAACCAAGTCTTTAAGTGCCCAAGTGGCCCCACTACACAATCATTCATTCCCTAAGGCTAAAACCATGGAGAACCTATGAATCAAAGGCTGGGAATTGCCAGCAGACTTTTCATGCTACATAGTCTTACCTCTTCACACTACGTACTATTATCCTTACTCACTATTTGCTCATATCATCAAAGGAAAATAGGTAAACAAAATCTTCAAATTGTAATTCACAGAAACTAAAGAATGATATATAAACTGAATTCCCCCAACACTTAGAATTCCTCTCAGTGTCTTTACTCTGTCTCTTCCACTGTCCCCATCTCTCTCTATTGTCTCTGTCCCTCTGAGTCTCTCTTAGGCTCTATTATTCTCTGCCTCTGAGAAGAGACCATGTTCTGTCTATGGAGCATTACCGTTCCTCTAATAAACTTTCCTTTTGACTAACTTTGGCAGGTGTTTTAATTCTTTCTTGTGCTCAGCCAAGAACCCTTTTCTCTCTCAGTGCAGGGCTTGAGTTCCCCCCACTTGGGGGAATTTACCCTGTTCTGAATCAAAATAACTCCGCCAAAGGGCACTGAACAAACCCTTCCTGTTTCTCTGACTACTTAAGCATGTGGCCAATACAGAGAACCCCAAATAAGACCGAAAACTAAGATATGCAAGAGTACTTTGGAAAGAAGGAAAGAAGTAATTACTAAAGTAACAAGTGTAGTAAGCAACCTACATTTTGCAGACTATATTGGAAGAAAGTAAAACTTCAGGCAATTCAGTTGAAAAAGACATTTTATGAACTTTGAGTAGTTGCCTAAGCAGAGGCTGACAATGGTCTGTAAATAGAAACATAGACTTGGATACAAGAGGGGTCCCTAAGCCAAACTCTGCTGATTCCCACATTCATTTACCCAAAGAGTTCCTGGATGTCTCCCTGAAACTCATTATGTTCAAAACTGAACTCAACATATTTTCCCTAAACCTGTTCGTCTTCTCATCTTTCTCATTTCAGAAATTGGCAACCCCTGCACTCCTGCATCAATAATTGCCCAGGCTTGAAACTTGGGACACATACTATGCTCCTCTTTTTCACTTCCTCCATACCCATACAGCAAGTTCTGATGATTCTGATTCCTTGTGTCAACATAAGAAGTGTCCAGACCTATAGAGAATTTTTATAAGAGTTTATTTGAGCCAAACTAATGACATTGTTGGAAAGCAAAATCTCAAATGTTCTGGGGACTGACAGTTTTGCAATTTCTTTTATACGTTTAGAATTAAGGAAGGAACATAAGGAAGATTATATGAAGATGGGAAAATGGAAAGCACAGGGTAGTTAATAAGATTAGGTTCTGTCTTAAGAGTGGTTAACATTTGAAGAGTCTAGAAAAGAGAATTATTTCTGGCATTTCAAAGATGTGTTAACCTAGATGCATAAGAACAATGGACAGAGCTTGCTTAAAAACCCTTTACCAAAGAAATTGTAGGCCTGGGACATCACTACCCACCATAAACTATTCAGTTAGGAATTTATAATCTGATCACTCTGTGAAGTTACTTTCAGTTAGATTTATTATAGAGCCCCTTTTTGTCCTCACTTAATATGCCTATATTCCTCATATCTTCCTTTATAGTCTTTCTGATTCCATCTGTGACCTCTTCAACTTATTCTTCCGTTGGGGAGGAAAATTTTCTCTTCTACCCTTTTAGGTTCTTCTGGCTAGTCTAAGAATTAAATTGACAAGAGACAGATTAACAAGAGAAAACCAAATTTAATTTGTGTATGGGGGGCTCCACAAAGACATGAAGCCCACAGGCAGTCAAGCAATTGAGGCTTATATATCATCCTAAGAAGAAAAGTGTAAGGGTTTAGGACATCAAAGGAAAGGAAGGCAATTCACATGGGGATAGAAAATCAAGTGTTTGCTAAGCAAATGTTTGCTACACCATAGAGAGATAATGGGACACAGAGAAGACTTTGATCTCCAAGCCCTGCCTACATCTAGCCAATATTCTTTGTAGATATCTCTGGTGATAGTGCTCTTCCAGGACCAGGCCCTTTATCTAAATTCTTTTAGGTAGTTAAAGGGAAGGTAAAACCTCTTCCTATAATCTTTGTTTTTTTAAAAAAAAAATCAGCTAAAATAATTATTAAGAGACACA